TGGAGTCTGAGTCTGTCCTGTTTGGTTTCCGAACCCAAACAGAAAGTTATAGAGGAGCAGATAACAGACTCAATGATTCCCCTGTAAAACTGCACCAAGAGCTATATAATGACATGTATCCTGAAGTTGGTGAATTTTCATCCAAATACTCTTCAGCTGGCCTATCATAATATAAGTCTGAAAGTAGACATCACTTCAGATTACCTATTAATCTGAAGGGGTTCTTGTTGCTGCAAGGCAAATATGTAGAGTGTCGTGCCTGCAGAGGGGAAGGGGGACAAGAAATGTTCATTTTACTTGAAGCTGGTCCAATAATCACAATGGGTTCAGTGTCTATAAGGGAAGTGAAAACTTGGTCTGTGAGAAGACTCATATATGATTTCAGGGTCAGATGAGGACGCAAAGAAGAGGAAGACTGGATGAAATCCAAAGAAATACCAGTACTAACTGAGGAAATTCCAGGAATCACAGTAGCTGAAGAAAAAGGAAGTCTAGGCAGAGGGTTGAGGAAAGTTAGAGAACAGAGAAGATGAAAGTTAAGGGACACTAAGTTCAGAAAATGAAGGGCCAATGAGAAAAGTACTAGGTAAAAGTAACATCTCCTCCAAGCCGTGCTCCTTCTGTGACTTCATGGATCCCCTGGGCAGTTTTCTTGGCATCACCTTAAATTGGCAATCAGTGTAGGTCTGTCACTATAAACATAACATGCTCTTGATATTCTGTGCAGATTAGCAGCTTGTCTGCCACTTTTTGCACCAATACCCATTAAAGGTATCCCAGGGTGAAACACATTGAAGTAAAGTCAGGATATTACTAAGTCATTACTAACTGCTGCCAGATCCAAACAGCTTAATGTGACGTAGTGATTGTACAAATGAATTTGTAGAAGATGGCAACTACCATCTGGGAATCCGGATAGGGGACTTGCTTTTCCAGGGAAAGTGCAGTCCCATCTAGAGTAGTCTCAGAGCTTGAATTCCTAATGCCCCAAAGCACCTCTGTTTTGTCCTGATTACCCCAATCCATTATCATCAGTCAAGGGAATCAATCAAGGGAATCAATCAAGCAAGGAATAGTTGGATTCCTGATGACACTTCAAAGCACCAGATGTCCTTGGCCCATAATTTCATGTTGCTATTGAAAAGCTTGGAGGATATGATGGAGCCCTGTAAGACACCACAAGATTACAGCTTAAGTACTAAACACTAATACCTTAACAGCACCTTCTGGATATGGCCAAAAAGGAAAGACCAGAAGAGTAAGATAATGTCCCTAAGTCCAACCCTAGCAGGTGCTCCAGAAAGATAATATAATTGATTATACTGATAGCCAACAAGAGGCCATAGGAATTTATAGGCTACTCTTCCTGTGAAGTTCATGATGTACCAAAACATTCTCTACACACCACCTGACTAAAAGCCTAATTGAAATGGCTGCAGATAATTAGCATCCTCTGGATGTGTCTGAAGCTCTCACTATCTCTGGAAATGGTACATTTGAAACTGATGTTTTTCCAGCTCTTTATGTTTAAGGGAAGATTTCTTTACTAATGGATTTATCATTACTTTCTTCTGACACAAAGAAATATACCCCTCCTACAAAGAAGCCTTAATTATTTCCCTTAATCACTGAGACTGACTCAATGATTTTAAGCAGCCGGGGGATAGGCTGGGGATAGGCAGGAGGTAACCCTTAATTTTTTCAGATACCATGTCAGTATCCTTGAAATCCTCAAAATGAAAATAATTTAAAACAATATGACAAGCAGCTGCCAGTTTATATCGTCATCCTCTGACCCAACACTGAAGTTTAGATCAAGCTGGATTCAAATTACTTTGTATTGGAAACCACAGATAGCAAACAATCTACAGCAGAAAGGCAGAAAGTGCATCTGCAGAAAGGCAGGCGGGCGCCTGCAGAAAGGTAGATGTGCACCGGCAAGGAGAGCCCTGGCGGGGAGGCCCCAGTGGTGACTCTCTCTCGTGTGTGCTCTCTCACCACCTGCTGCTCCTCTCTCCTCTCCTCCTCACTCCTCACTCACTCTTCGGCTCAGCTCACTCCTCATCTCCCTGCTTGCACACGCATGCGCTATCCCTGCCCCCACCCAGAGTCTGTGCGCACTCTGCAGGCCAACCCAGTGTTGAAGGTTGGACGGTTTTTCTTCCATCTCCACTTTTTAAAAATAAATCATGATCTCCCAGGAAACCTGTAGTGACCTCTTGTGAAACCTAGGGTTCCGTGGAACCTCGGTTGAGAAACCCTGAGGTAGAGGGAGACAACCGCTGAGGGAAGGCCAGTCAGCTATTAGGACTCTCTGTTGTTAGGGATATATGTTGGTGGTGAAAAGACTGCATGAGAAATCTCAGGCAGTTGCTTTAGGTTCTTATTTTGGCTTGTATATGTATTTGGGCTTCTTCTATTAAAACCATATTTTTGCATCTTTTATTGCATTGCCTTTTCTTGGTAAGACCTTTAAGTACCATGTTCTCTATGAGGCTTACCTATCTGCTTTTTGTACTCAACTCTCTTTTCAATCAAAGGGGAGTGTGATTTCCTGCTTTGTTCTAGGTTAGAAGAGTTCTACAATATGACACTGGCAGCTTACCAGAGAAAGGAATACTACTGCATCAGGAAGACACCCTTTGGAAACTCTTAGCTGGCTCCTGGCTGGGAGAAGGGATGGGAGTACCACATAGCCAAGAGATGGGGTGGGAAGTATGGGCCAGAGATTCAAGGACTCATTTGTGCTATATAGAAAATAGGAAAAAATACTACTACATAATGTGTACTGAGGCCTTTGGGAAGACAAAGTTTTCCTTCTGCTAATATCAGAGAAAAATGAAACAACTGATCTACTAAAATCTATTTCACAGGTAGAGAATCTTTACAGCTTCTGGGATAAATAGATTTCTTGACATGCATGATTCACACTGTTGAACCTTTATTCTTCTGAAGGATTTTTCATGCTTGACATGTGGAAATGCTCCACTAAAAATTAATAGTGTCAGTTCAGTGCAATATGTAGCACTACTGGCATACAAAAAAGCAGAGTTGATTGGGTCTGGTTGGTGAAGCTATTTGTGTATGTTCTCCTTGCCTATGAGCGAAACTGGAAGGTTTGAAAATATCACTGAAAAATCTTGTTTGCATAATTTCTCCACTTTTTCTTTCTCCTTTTAGACTCAAAACATCATGTATGATATGATTTCTGACTTGAATGAACGAAGTGAAGACTTTGAGAAGAGGATTGTTACTCTGGAAACAAAACTGGAAACTTTAATTGGTAGCATCCAAGCTCTCCCTGGACTGATTAGCCAGACAATTAGCCAGCAGCAAAGGGAATTCCTTGAAGCTCAAATACAAAATTATGATAAGCATGTAACCTACAGTGCAGAACGATCAAGGTCCTTGTCTAGAAGACGGAGATCTTCCTCTACAGCACCACCCACTTCATCAGAGAGTAGCTAGAAGAGAATAAGTTAACCACAAAATAAAGACTTTTTTGCCATCATATGGTCAATATTTTAGCTTTTATTGTAAAGCCTTATGGTTCTAACCAGTGTTGTCTGGGTTCTGATGTCAGAATTCTGGAAACCTGAACACAAGTTTTAGGCCAAAATGAGTGAAAACTCTCTCTCTCTCTCTCTCTCTCTTTTCTTTTCAGATGCACAGTGAATGCACCTATTATTGCTATATAGATTGTTCCTCCTGTAATTTCACTAACTTTTTATTCATGCACTTCCAACAAACTTTATTACTACTACAGTATATAATATAATAAAAGGGTTACTTTCTGCACATGGTTGCTTAGTCACTTTGACTTTAACATTCCCAGCTCTTTTTTTTTAATGAAAATGTAGAAAATGCTTTAATTTTGGGATGGCTGAGTTCATTTTGTGTTTCTTTTGGAACAAGTTCTTATTTCACATTCTATGCAGGAAAAGATCATAGTAATGATGCATTAATTTAAATTTTAAATTACTTTAAAAGACTGGATGGACTTTATTTAAAGTTTTGTTTTCTTTTTTCATTATGCCAGCTCAAGAAGACAAGTGAACAAATTGTTTTTGTTTTTGTTTGCAAATGTTGTGAAAGTTCATTGATGAGAGCTGCTGCACCCATATCTCCTCCAGTATATTGGCAGCATGCTGTATGTTCTTCTACATTATTTATACAAATAATTGTTTACTAAAAATTTAGAAAAGGGCTGGCTCCAAACCATTTTAAACATTTTTAAATGTGTTTATATGTGGTGTGTGAGAATATCGTATATTTCTTTTCTTGTTAAGAGAAATTTTCCATTGATGAAAAATGTTGTGGCATCTCAATCTATTTTGTCTCTCTTGTTTTTAGTTTGCTACCCATTACACTTTGTTTCATTTGGATAAATAAGCTTGAACTCTACTAGACCCGCCTGATCTTGATGCAATGCAAAACATGAAAGTGTTGCTAAATTTGTGTGGACAATTCCATTACTACCAGCCTTTACTATACACGTTACATATGCATTTCAAGCCAGTTCTGAAAATTAACATATCTGAATATTTAGAGGCAAATCTGAAATGCCCTCTTTCTCTTTGGCTGCACTGTTGTAGAGTGGGGTGGGGTGGAAAGTATATTTCTGTACCAGTCTGGAATGAATTACAATGGATACAGTTATAGTATACTTCTAGAAAGACCTGGTGGGGCTGGAAAGTCTGTTACAACAAAAACATCCATCCAACTGTGGGTCACTCATTTTACTTTTCCAGCAATCTTGTGCATTTGGCCAAGTAAGAATGCCTTAATGAAGGCATAAAGGGATGATATGGGAAGGGAAAAATCACCATACTCAATAACATTTTAAAAAGTCTAGCTTGACTTGCGATACATCTATTTTGAGATGGTAAATGTTTCTTGTACTCATTTCTTTATATTTTTGTATTAGACTTTCTTTTTTTCTTTCTGAGAAATAGGTGTCTTCTCTATAACCTATACTTTTCACATAGGAGTCCCATCCTTAGTCGACAGATTACAAGAATTTCTTCTGAGTTTTGCAACTACAATAGCAAAAAGTAAGGAATGGTTGATAGTTGTTTTCTCATTTTCTCATTTCATTTGCTAGACATGGGAACTCTTCACATCTTTAAAAGATGCATTTTACATATTTTGCACTTATTTATTTATTTATTTATTTGTTTGTTTATTTATTTATTTATTGAATTTGTATGGCCGCCCATCTCAAACAAGTCACTCTGGCAGGTGAACAATCATAAAATCAATTAAAACCAAATTACTATCACAATATAAAAAATTAAATACACAACAGTAGCTGGGAAAAATATTGCAATTCATGGATGTTAACATAACCAGGAAACGGGGTCCTTCACACACTCGGGATCCCAGGCCCAGGCACACAACCAGGTCTTCAAGGCCTTATGAAAGGCCAACAGGGTCAGGGCCATCCTAATCTCTGGAGGGAGAATGTTCCAGAGGGCAGGTACTACAGCAGAAAAAACACACCTCCTTGTCCCCACCAGCTGCCATTCCTTGGGTGATGAGACCTGGAGCATGCCTATCCTGCTGAACTAGATTGGATGGGTAGAAATAACTGGGAGAAGCTGGTCCCTCAAGGAAGCTAGTCCCAAGCCAAGGGCTTTAAAGGTGGCAACCAGCACATTGAATTGCACCCGGAAACACACTGGCAACCCATGCAGCTCACAAAGCAGTGGTGTTACATGTGCTGAGTAAACAACACCATTTACTACCAGTGCAGCTGCATTCTGCACCATCTGAAGCTTCCAAATGCTCTTCAAAGGCAGACCCATGTACAGCACATTGCAGTAACCTGGACGGGAGGTCATGAGGGCATGAGTGCATCGCATGGAGATACTCAAGTGCCTAGACGTAGCTTTGACCACTAACAAATGCAAATATTATATCAAAATGACCCAATTTCAAAAGTAATTTATTAATATACAGCATGAACAGATTATAATTCAAGAATCACAAATCAAAATTCCTTCTTGAATATGAACCCCAAAGTTTAGATAATAAATTTCTGGTCTTATCCCAACCCCTATCCAACTGGCTTCATTTATTATCTTAGGCTGTTCTTTTCTGCATATTCATTTAGAACAAAGTTCAATTGAAATTACGTAACAATGTATCATAAGGGCTTGTGCTGCGTAAGCTAAAATCCATGAAGTTTCTGATGGAAATAACATCTAACCCAAGAAAGAAAAAATGGACCACAGCCTCCCAACTACAATACATAATCCTTACATGATGTAGTTTCTGAATAAAGTCCTTTGAGTACTATATATTGGATATTGTCACATTTGTCACATACAGTTTTAGTGGATGAATTTGGCTTAGCTTTCAAAAGTAATGAGTGTGTATATCCCAATCTGATTGGAGAGTCTTGGACTTCTATTCAGGGTATCTAAGGTGAAACCAGGAAATAATAAAACAACTGAATCTTTATCATTCACGTCCTAAGCGTTTCTTATCTACTGACTTTTTGATAATTCTTTATTACCGCAGCCAAAAAATGTTATTTTAATGAATTCAAAAATCATTTTAAAAAGTTTTGTTATATTCAGCTGGTTCTGTCTACAGCACACATAGTATTTTTCTTGATTCTTCCAAATAAATTCAACTGATTCCCAAACAAACTTCTGTTATTACTTCCTTCAAAACAGCATAAGATTTCTGTATTCAGAACAGTTGATCCATTCACTTTTTTTTTCAGTCTTCTCATTATGAAGTAAGTAAAATATCTCTGTATGTTAATCTTGTCTTCACCAGCTAAGTCTCAGAGTTCAAAATATTATCATCTTTTATATTTTATATTATGCTAAGCTTGTTAAAAACTATAATTTACATGAGTGAAGCAGTAATTTTTCCACATGTCCTACCCAGAAATACTTTTCTTTCATTTGAATAAGTTCTTCCATTAGAAAATGTGTATATTTTTGCTTTAAATAATTGTGATTTCCCCCCCCTTCAGCTACATCTTCCCCAGAGCTACCTCTTGGTTATCACTAGTGAACAGGTGAAAAATGAAAATTATTTCATTTTTATATTATGCTAAGCTTGTTAAAAACTATAATTTACATGAGTGAAGCAGTAATTTTTCCACATGTCCTACCCAGAAATACTTTTCTTTCATTTGAATAAGTTCTTCCATTAGAAAATGTGTATATTTTTGCTTTAAATAATTGTGATTTCCCCCCCCTTCAGCTACATCTTCCCCAGAGCTACCTCTTGGTTATCACTAGTGAACAGGTGAAAAATGAAAATTATTTCATTTACTTGCATGAAAATGTTGAGATTTAATTGTAGATCATTTTTAATAATCCTGTTTAATCTTAATATTTCCATTTTAAGTGCTATGATGTGATTATTTTATATTTTATCTTTATATTCATTTTGAAAAATGCTTTGAAGTAAGCTTCATTAAGTATGATTCAGTAAAAAAGCAGATATAATTATTTTTTTTCAGTTAACTGATTTTTTATGGTAATTTGCACTTGGATTTATTCATAATTTTGTGACAGGCATAGTACGTGAATTGCTTCCTTTACACTGTATTATTTGCTTGCTTTTGGCCCCAAATGAATTAAATTCAGAGATAGTTATGATGATGGACAAGGAATTAAGACCGGGTTCACATTTGGATTCAAAGGAGAAAAGGTCATTCAGACAGTGTTGGAGCATAAATCTAGCACCTTTTCACCTTTGAAACCAAAAGCAGCTCAGCCCTATTAGGATTTAAGGTTTTTTTTTCCACATTAATCACAAACAAGTTATGTAAATGAACCCATAAGAACAGTTTTCTATCAGAACCATATTTTCATGAGACCAAAACATCTTTTCGATGATTCAGCAATTCACAGGTTGTAATGTTCCATTCACCAAACCAATCTCAGTTACACTTGGCATAAGGGCCACCTTATTGTCCTTTGCAGAGTATGTTGGAGGCAGCATTGCAAAGGTTGGTGGGGCCAGGGCACACTGGATTTAGGGGTTTTAAGGGAGTCAAATGGATGCCTCATGCTTCTGCAAAGAATAAGGCACCTGTGCCAATTCTGCAAAGCATAAGGTACCTCCTCAAATGCAAGGAGGGCTATTATCTGAATAGTATCAAAGGAATGTTTTGGTCCATTTGTTGCTCTCCAAATGGCAGAAAGACTCTGACAGAGAAGAAACGTAAAAGCAATTAATGATGTCTGAGTCTAAGACATCAGTTTCAAGACAGTTCTTTTTTCTTGCATGAAATAGCAAAAATGATAGGCAATGAAACTAGAACAATTGACACATGTTTTTACTAATTGTTTAGCTTGTGACTAAACTATTATTTGAATGTACCATATCTTTCTTTTCCTTCCAGAAAATTTAGAAATAAGTGTGCAGATTTTGTCTGTGGATTGTCTGCTAAGTCCTAGAAATTAGCTTACAGATGTTATTTTTCAGTACTTTGGGATCTAATACCTGAGATGGGAGTTGAAAACTGGTTCATCAGTATCTCAACCAAAAAAAGATATTG